CCCGCCCCTGCCCGAGGGACCGGGGGAGCCTCCCGCCCGCCCGGCCCCCTCCATCCCGCTCCGTCTCGCCGTCCCCACACACCGGCACCGCCGCCGCGCGCCGCTTCTTGAGGGGGCGCGAGGGGCAGCCAGCCCGAGCCCCGCCCCGCCGCCAGGCCAGAGCAATGCACCGCCGATGGCGGGGCGCAGACCCGGGGAGCAGAGCGCGGAGCCTAAGATCAACCCACTCCCTAGGACCGCTGTATTTATGTATTTTATGGTAGAAAAAAAGAAGTAAAACCCAAAGGAAGGTGTCTTTACATCACCTTAGAAGTTCACAGAACGTTTTAAAGACCGGCATTCATTTAAAGACTCAAATTCAGCATTTATGTAGAAACCTTTTAATATATACAGGATGCAACATATATAAAAAGGTAAATTACAATTTTAGTTTATGAACAGAGAGTGTTTTCTGCTTCTTCTGTTTCTTCTTTAATTTGTTTGCATCTTTGATTTCCATTTTCACTTGATCTTGTAGTTGAGAAAAGAAGGCCTGGGATGACTTCAAGACCTTGTCCTTCCCTTCATCCTGTCCACAGACAAAATACTTGTTAGAAACAAGAAAAGTACAAACAGCACCATTATGCTACTTGCCAGTCACTCACATATAATGGTATTTGACTTTTTAAAAGTATTTTGGTGATTGATTTTCAAATCACTCCTGCTATCTGAAGAAATAAAGAGCACGTTCCCTTTCTAATTAGTAATTAGCACAGCAGGTAAGAAGAGGCATCAAGAACAGCTCCTTGTACATCATGTGCTACAACTGCATGGCTGTATTTTGTGTTCTGCTCTCCTTTTGAAAAGGTAAGCACAAATGTTTAGAAGTAATCAAGTTATTCTTCCTATTAGTTTCTAGTAACTCAAAATTTCAGAGACTTAAAATTTAATTTAGAAGGCACATAGGTGGTACACAAGTTTAGTATTTTACAGGACACGAAACAAAATCAATCTGATGATATTATAGAGAGGACTCCTCAATAAGAAGTAGTTAAACAGGAATATTCTGTTTTGAAATGCCTTAAGTTACTCAAGGCTTAGCAAGAACTAAAAGGAAGCCTCATGCTCAATTACGCACGCAGGCAGCCCCATCTCATCAAGTGGGACAGTTCAAATGCAGGAAATAAGAGCATAAGTCTTAGTATTTGCAGGAACACCACCTTGTGAACTTTGAAATAAAAAAGTAGTACCTAATGCAAACAATCATTTCTGTTTTGTGAATCTACTTTGATATAAAGTAATTGTATCATACAGTTTTTAATATTTTTCCACATCTAAAGATTAAGTTGCTTACTCAAATATATTTCCTACTCTGAGTAAGCTTCTAAAGGTTCCAGCAACCATTCAGCATGATTTACTCATCATGAAAGCAGTAACTTCTACATAAATATCCATTATGAACAAAGAGTCACTGCAAAGTGCCACCAGAGCTGTATTTTTTCAGGCCTCTATACTGACATCGTGCCGTTGGGATGATCAGCAAAATCAGGACTAGAAAGACATTCAACACGACTTTGCATAAGGCAGTTACAAGCACGGATTAGAAGAGTCCTTCCAAAACTGGAGTTCAAAAGAACACAGGGGAAAGTAAGGAGGGGTATAGGGGAGAAGATAAAGAAGGGGAAAAAAAAAAAAAGAAAAAAGAGTATGCTTTCCAGGTCTTCTTCCTACCTCTTTTTTCCAGAAGCTCCATGTATGTTTTATATTTGCTCAGACATAAATAAGATAGCAAGATTTGGGCGGCAAGCAGATATACCACTTGTGTACAAGAGTTTTTGAAGGGGATGAAAAAAGCTGAGGAGCTGTAGCTGTGCCAAGAGGGATGGGACGGAAACAAACCCTATACTTGGTAATTGTGGTAAAGTTCCCTTTCCTCTCTCCAGCTAAGTATTATCTACCCTTGGGATTTCAATATTCTTTCGCTGGGAAGCTCCAAGCTATACAGTACTACTTTAGAGAGCCTTACCTTGAGCAGAGATGCTTTGCCTTCTTTTGTAAGCTTTTTTAATTTTGCTGCAGCTGCTTTTTTGCTAAGTTTTGCGCCTTGTTCTGGTTTCATCTTTTCAAGAAGCTTTTGACGTTTCTCCTTTTCTCTTAACTTCATACGTTTACGAAGCTTTTTCTTTCTTCGTTCTCGTTTTTTGTCTGTGGGAGTCTTTTCTGCATCTGTTTTAACATCACCAGCTTTGTTCTTTTCCTAAAGAGAACAAGATTTCTAGATCCGTAAGTGTGCAAAAGAAATGATTCACTTCACAGTACTCAAATGTGTCTTAGCACTTCCACCCTTTCAAGTGTTGACCCAGCTCAGGGCAATGTCGCAGTAAGGCAAAGGCCAAAAACTGGCAAAAGTTGGCAAGTGAGATTTGTACAGTTGATCAAAGACAGGCTAATTGCTCTTCCCTACTGTCATTTAGCTTTCCCCTTCCGTATCTATTTTGTGAAAATAATTACCATTACATAACAGTCAAGAACAAAAACAAAGCATAGTATTATAGCCTAGTGTAGCCAAATGAAGTTAACTTTCCCCTCCTTCCAGTTATCAAAAAAAACCACAAAAAAAACCTACCCCAAAACCCCCAACAAACACCAATACTAAAATGGTAGGGAAGAAGGTCCCCAAGGTGAGGAAGCCAGGCTGGGAGAGGGCTCCAATTGATCTGGCAACCAGTACACCCTTCTATAAACATACAGATCCTTACATGATTTTTATTTATAGTTACCTTAATCTCCTCTGGCGCTAAGAGAGCAGCATCACTAACAGCAACTGGTGCTACTTCTTCCATACTTATAGCTGGAAGGTTCGAAACTATTTTAACTTCTGGCACAGGCTAGAAACAAAGAAACATATTCAGGATTGAGCACACCATCTCACAGCAGCTTGCAGCTAACTGAAGATACTAAATACTTGGTTTTGTTCCAAGGCAGTTATAGAGGATTTAATATGAAATAAGAACAAGCTCAATAACACTCAATGTTTACTTTACTTTCCATTTCTCAAATGCATTTTAAAGTATCCGGTTTCAAAGAGGGGGGAAAAAAAATCCAACACACAACTTTATGAAACATGTACTTACTGGTTTGGGTGTGAAGTGGAAGTTACAAAGTGCATCCAGCTTCAGGAAGAGTGAATCCATCATTTCCTGAATTTCTTTGTGTTCAGGATTTTCTTCCTCTTCAGTCTTTTGCTGAGTTAATAACACAACGTTACTGCAACACCCTTCATAAAACTATTTTACTTCAGTAAAACTGGTAACACCAAAATACGCAATTTGGAGCCACCTCCCTGGTGAACACTCAGACTGAAGTACTTCCACAATGCTGAGAGCAGAGTTAGCAGTGTGCAAATGAATGTATGTGAATGAAATTATGTGATGTGAACTCCAAACCGAAAGGAAAGGCATTGCCTACGTTACCTGGTGAAGTTTCATGTATTCTTGCTCATAGATCTCGGCAAGACTCAGTTTACTCTTTTCATGATCCAAAGTCAGACGTTTCTTGTATTCAAAAGCCTCTTCTTGTGGTTTCTCTTTCGGTACTACATCATCCCATGCCTAAGAGAGTCATAAATTAATGATCAAATGCAACCACAGTCAAATATCAGGTGCTATTTAGCATATTTAGAGCATTTTCCATATTCCTTATCTGACACATCAACTAGTTTATGCAGGTTGCTTCCCAGGAACTCATTAAGTTTCACATTTTCATTTGGAAAAAAAAAAAGGAATAAAAGACTTACAGCTCTAACTTGTGTGCTTATTTTCAGTGGATCAGGGAAAAAATTGTACAAAACTAACAAATGTCTAATTTTCTTAAGTATTTAACTATTCTCCCCCATACGTACCAATTTTTAAAATTCAACTAACAATAAACCTCAATAAGCTGCGGGATACAAATCTTCTATCAGTGGCTTTTAAGAAAAGTAAGTAAACAATTGAGTTTTGGTTAGTATCCAGAATGCTTGGAGTGCTACAGTTATGGTCACAGACAAAATTTACAGACTAGCATTACATTCCAAATAAGCTCCTTATAGTTTTAGCTGCAAACACTTTTTTTTTGAAGCACACCAAAACCTAGCATGTAATAAGCACGTAAAAACAGAGCTCCTTAGAAATCTAAAGGCACATTCAGCAAGGCAAAAGAATAAAACCACCAGTTGCAGAAATTAACTAGGATAACTCTACACCTAACATTTTAAGAGCTTCAAACTCAGCCTTGGAATGTGCCCTGTGAATCAAGGCTATAAAGAAAATACGGACAAAGAAGTAAGATGGTATTAACCTCATCCAATATTCTCTGTTTAATGATATCTTCAAGCTGAAAAGTAGTTTCTTCTGTGATCACAGGTGCTGAGAGGAGAAAGAGAAGAATTTTAAGATTAATGTTTCTCCAGCAAGAAATACTTTCTGTTCTATGAAGAATAAACAACAGAAAAAAAAAAGTAAAGCCTTAACAAAAATGTAGTAATTGAAATAATGTTTTCCTCTACCTTAAAGAGAGTAATCTTATTACATAAGGCTTGTAAGGGACTAAATCTGCTACTGAATTTATGAACTTTCAGTTCAGTTAAAAATGAACCAAAAAGATTATAATTTCTTGTAGTTCCCACTGTGAAAATGCACAACCTCAAAAACACACTGAGAAGTTTAACTCAGTGGTTTGCTTGAGTTACAGGTGTTTTTAGCAAGATGAAAGGGCAGAAAACCCAACATGGTACACAACACGTTTTCAGGAAAGCCTGCTTACCCATTCGGACTGCATGGTCAAAAAGTACTGTTTCCTCCAAAAGGCTGTTTTCAGGTCGTTTGTGTCCAGTCACTTCTCCTTTAAGCTGCCAAGGTTTCTCCTCTAACAACTGTTCTTCTAAACTTCTTATTTTCTTGCTCATCTGCAAAACATAATTTCCTAAGTTTAAAACATAGAGCTCACAACTAACCTCAGGGCAAGAAATTAATAGCTATTTCAAATACTCCTAACTCCTCACATAAAGATGAGGAATATATGATTACAAATATATCTATGATGACACGAGCCACTTTTTTTTTCTTACTATGTAAATAGTCTCTTTGTATTTGCCAAACTTTGAACAAATTATACAATCATTTAAAACAAAATGGCCACTGTTTTGAATTATTTGAAGTATTAGCGAAACAAAAAAAACAATTACCTTTTCCTGTCTCTTCTCAAAAGAAGACTTTATTTCACTGGGATCAATGCCCTTCTCTAATTGCATATCAGTAACATCTTCTGCTTCACTGTCATCTGGCAAACTGAAAGTAACTCTTTTAGAGGCTTCTTTACTTCCCATGTTCTCCATCATCAATTCATTCATATCCTCGATCCTGTAACATTAAAATTTAATAGAAAAAAAGGGTTGAAAATCCTTTATAATTCTTTACATGAAGTTATTTCAGCCATTAGATGTTTACCTGTTACAACTAACCCACAGTTAAGAAATACAATAGGCTTTCACTGAAACCTAAAGGCAGGGGACACTAGGGAAACTTCTGTACGCTAAAAAAAACCTTCCAAAAACTCAAGTTACACCTACTGAATGATTTATTCAAATAAATATCAAGAGACAACTCTCAAAAGTAAATAAACTACTTTTTCAATAAGGTGATAATGCAAATTATGAACACACAACAGGTAACAAAGAATGGCAAACCATGACCAAAGTGAGCCTGGAATCCAGGCTTTATTTTCTACTCCAGTGTAAAATTACAAGGGCATTTTAACTGCAAATAACACGTATACTTACTCAGACATGCTTTCCTCATTCTCCTCTTCAATAGCACTGTCTGCTTCCTCTTTTTCTTCCTGATCATCTTCAACGTCATTAGCTACTAAACCATCGTCATCAACCGGATCAAAGAAATCTTTGTATGTCAAGTCTCTAGAACTTTTAATTGGCTAAGAAAGAGAGGGGGGAAAAAAAACAACAACCGACAACAAAAAAACAAACCAAACAAACAAAAACACAAAAAAAACCCCTGTTAGACTAAAAGAAGACTAAAAAGATCTAAAGACTAAAAGATCTTTTTCATTTGCTGGGTCACCCACCCTGCAAGGTCGCATGTTTCTTATGACATACTATCTCTTCCTTTATTCATGCAAAAACCCAAGACCCATCTAAAGACAGACTGGAATAGCAGGACAACATGTTCTACTACACTGGAACATTTGTTACCAGATATTCATGTTAAATATATTATTAAAGTAAATCTTCAGTAATTGTCACCAGTCATCTAATCAAATTTAACTTGGTAGTTTCTCTCAGAGTCCAACAACTTATAGTCTTGAACAGGTCTTGATTTAAAGGAAAAGAGAGACCTGAAAATTTATTTACTGATATTCTTACTTTGGCTTTAGCTTCTTCAGACTCTTCTTCTTCCTCATCATCTGAGAAGATGTCTTCAAAATAATTAATATCTTCTTCTTCCTCCTCCTCGTTTTCCTTCTCTGCATGTTCTAAAAAAGCTTCCATCTCAGCCAGCTTGAAAAACTTGTCATCCACTATGGATTTTCTTCCAATTTTTTTCAATGTGGTTTCCTTGGCTATTTTAGTTTGTTGCTCCAGTGCTTCAATATCAAAGTCAATATCAGAATCCTCATCACTGTATTTCTGCTTTAAACTTTCTTTGAGTTTACTTTGCCTTTCTTTAGCTTTAGTTTTATGGCTTGTATTAACATCCTTCTGTTCAGTTTCTGCTTCCATTATGTTGTCTTCCAATTCCTTGTCGCTGCTGGTTTCTGCATCAGAGCCATCCTCTTCCTGGTCTGAGAGAAGGCAAAGATCTTCATCCTCGGCATCCCTTGCAATGGATTTCTTGAAGAAATCGAGAACTGCATTGTTCCTGAGCTCTAGTTGTTGCCAAATCTGCTCCTCATCAAAATTTTCTATCACCAGTTCTTTTAGAGAACCCCCAGAACTCCCCAGAGCTTTATTCAAATCATAGAGAGTCTTTGTTAATGCTCTGAAGTCAGCAGCCAGTCCATCTTGCACACTAAGAGCAGAAAAAAAACCAAAAAAAAACAATTAAGAACTTTTACAAGCACAACAGTTAATATTAACTTCTTTTTTCCTATTTTGCAGAACTTACTAACTTTCACTCATTTTACAGTTGCCACTAAGTTAATCACATGGTCACACTGCAGCTCTTTTTATATCTGTTTAGGTATTTTGGTGCTATGGAATTGCACCTTTCAATACTTAATGCTGTTGCTTAACTTTCTACACACCTCTTGGCGTACTGCTCCTAAACATTCCGAGAAATAACAATATTATTAAGCCTTTCAGCTTCATTACGCTTTGTGCATGAAGTAACAGCTGCACAGACTAATCCGCCTTTCTATAATTGCATCTTATTGCATCTTGAGCATATTTAAGCACTCCAGACGTTTTGGAGAAGTAAACAGTACAGCACTAAACACCTCAAACATCTAAGATACAGGCCCGTGGTTTTAGAAAGGTAACTGCCTTCCTCCTCAGATTTGTACCTGGGTAGTCTCCTCCAGTTTCCTCTCCAGAGCTACCAATGCTTCCACACAGCCGGTACGAACGGAACCCCCCGGTTTCCCCACCCCCGCCGTACCTGAGGAAGCGCTCCGGCCGCGCCGCGGCGGCGCCCGCCACCCTCAGGCCCGTCTCCAGCCCTTTCACCGCCGCCATCTTCCCGCCGCGCGCGGCGCGTGCAGCCGCCTAGCACCGCCCCCCGGTGCCCCGGCTCAGAGGTCCGGGCGCCTCCCGCCGCCGCCGCCGCTCAGGTTCCGCGCACGGGAAGTTCCGACCCCGCTGGTTCCGCCTCAGGGCCGCCTCCTTCCCCCGTGTGACACCCGCCGTCGCCGGGCAGGGGGTGGCAGCCACCGTTGGCGGGGGTGGCTGCTGCTTCCTTCCCCTGGGAAGAGCGTGGCGTTGCTCTGGAGCGGGTGTTCAGCAGCACGGAAAAACCTGCTCTAAATATAGTAGAGCTGCAGTCCCCTCACCCCGCAGTTCGTCTCCCTGACCTAGATACAGGGCTATTTTGGAACCGCACCGAATTTCCAGCTGATTTCTGCAAGCAAAATGCCTTATGTTACTGGGCACCTCCATGCTCCCAGCTAACAGGGCAGGCACCACACACCGACCCCGGCAGCCAGTGCTGCCCAGTGCTTGGCTGCCCTGTTACCTTACGTTCCATGGCTTCCTCCACGTTTATTATAAATCAAGCACTGCACCCGCAGACCCTGGGGGAGGCCATCCATCCCTAAAACCACCCCGGCTGCACCCACTCTGCCCACTGCCCTTCCCGGCCTGGGTCCCAGCTGTGACCAGTCTGCCACCTTTGTCCTTGCTATCGCCTCTGCTGTTCCTCTGCTGCTTTCCTGTTTCCTTCCTACCAAAAAACCCCAGTGTTTTCAGTGCACAGACAGCAAAACCCTACCGCCCGGCTTCTGCACGTCCTCCTTGGCGCTTTGCACACTCAAACCCTGTTGTGTGGAGCAGGGCCCACAGCAGAGGGACAGGTATGGCCTGTACCTGAGCTTCCCTCAACATCATCAACACATCTGACACAACCTAGGCTGGAAGCAGAAAGTGACATATATTAGAATCACAGAACTGCCTAGGTTAGAAGGGACCTTTAAGATCATCAGCTCCAACCATTAACCCAGCACAGCCAAAACCACCACTAAACCATGTCCCTCAGCACCACATCTACACATCTTTTAAATACCTCCAGGGATGGCAATTCAGCCGTGTCCCTGGGCAGCCTGTTCCAGTGCTTCATAACCCTTTCGGTAAAGAAATTTTTCCTAATATCCATCCTAAACCTCCCCTGGCGCAACTTGAGTCCATTTCCTCTTGTCGCCTGTTACCTGGGAGAAGAGACGAACACCACCCTCACTCTTTTCAGGTAGTTGGAGAGGGCGATAAAGTCTCCCCTTGGCTTCCTTTTCTCCAGGCTGAACAACCCCAGCTCCCTCAGCCACTCCTCATAAGACTTGTTCTCCAGACCCCTCACCAGCTTTGTTGCCCTTCTCTGGACTTGCTCCAGCACCTCAATGTCTTTCTTGTAGCGAGGGGCCCAAAACTGGACACAGTATTTGAGGTGGGGCCTCACCAGTGCCCAGTACAGGAAGATGATCATTGCTATAGTCCTGCTGGCCACATTACTCCTCATACAGGCCAAGATGCCGCACGCCCGCCTTTGCCGGGGGAGTCACCTCCTCCGGGGATGAGCACCGGGTCGCAGCGCCCGCCTCTGCCCAGGGGAGTCACCTCCTCCCGGGATGAGCGCCGGGTCGCAGCGCCCGCCCCTGCCCGGGGGAGTCACCTCCTCCCGGGACGGGCACCGTGCCGCACGCCCGCCTCTGCCCAGGGGAGTCGCCTCCTCCCGGGACAGGCACCGTGCCGCACCGCCCGCCTCTGCCCAGGGGAGCAGCCTCCTCCCGGGATGAGCACCGGGTCGCAGCGCTCGCCCGCCCGAGCCAGGGCTCACCCGGCCCCTCGGCGCGACACAGCCACTGCCGGTGCCTCCCACCGGAACGCCCCGCTGGCGCCGGTCCCGCTAACGCAGCCGCCGGCTGTGGCCGCGCCGAAGGGCTCCCGGTTCAGGCAGCCGGGGGGCGGCGGCCGCTGCCGCGGTGACGGCGGAGGGCGGCCTCTCCC